ACAGTTACAGGGGGATTTCGCTACTATCTCACGTAGGCAAGGTCCCCATCAAGATCATCACCAACCGTCTAAGCGCCTTCTGCGAAGCCAACAACATCCTCCCGGAGGAACAGTGCGGATTTCGACCCGGGCGATCCACCGTCGACATGCTGTTCGTCGTGCGCCGCCTCCAAGAGCTGGGGCGAAGAAAGAAAGTACCGCTCTACATGTGCTTCGTCGACCTAAACAAGGCGTATGATTCGGTGGACCGAGAGATGCTTTGGAAGGTGCTGGCCAGGGCCGGGATTCCCGCGAAGCTGATCGAAGTCATCCGCCAATTCCACGATTGAATGCGGGCCCGGGTGCGCATGGACGACGGAGAACTATCGGACTGGTTCTTCGTGACACAGGGCGTGCGACAAGGATGTGTGCTATCCCCACTGCTGTTCAACATCTTCTTCGCCGAGGTCCTCGAGGTCGTTGTCATCCGATTCAGCGAGGATGATGTTGTTCTGCGGAGCCTGGTGTGCTTGGAGGAGGGGAAGACGGAAGCGGGGGGGGGGGAGGAGACACCCCTTGACCGAGTACGGAGGGCAGTATGGGGGATGTTGTTTCCGATGATGCCGGCGTCGTATCGAGGTCTGCAGAAGGACTGGCGAGAATGATGACCATCATCGTTGACTTGTTCGGGGAGTTCGGGCTAACGGTGTCGGAGCAGAAGACGGCGACGCTCCTGATGCGCGCCAAGGACAAGCCGACTACAACATCACAGCCCGCCCCGCCTCCACCACTGACCATCGAAGCCGCGGGACAGGAAAACGCCCAGACGACCGAGTTCCGGTACCTCGGTGGCCTCGTCAACGAACATGGCGACCTCACCCGGGAGATCAACTACAGGAGCAGAGGAGCGTGGGCGTGCCTCAGGCGATATGGCCGGCAGCTCTTCCACAGACCGCAAGCGCTATTCCGACTCAAGATCCGCCTGCTCCAGGCGGAGGCGATGGAGGCACTGTTGTACGGTTGCATGACATGGTCACCACTCAGCGGCCACTATCAGACGCTGCGGTCGATACACCACCGACTGCTCCTTCGAGTTATCGGGTACAAGCGCAAGAAAGACACGTACCGGCAGCTCTCTTACGCGCAGACGCTAAAGAGGGTCGAATGCCAGAGCGTTGAAGCCACGATCCGACGACGCCTAATGTTCGCAGGAGCATTGGCAAGGCAGCCGGACGGGCTACTCCCGAAACGACTGATGTTCGGCGAACTGGCAGGGGGGGAGAAGCGACGAAGGGGGGGACAGAAACAGAACTGGCTGAAGTGTGTGCTCGACGACCTGAAGGTATTCGGGGCCGAGGACGGATCTACGAAAACCGATCCATGTTGTTTCGGAATCCCGGTACCAAAAGACACGGAACCGACGTTAAAGTGGACGGAAGCCGCGAAGGTAGAGGGGGGAGTACCCTGGCATGCGGCGGTGCTGCAGGGAGCTGAGAGGTTCATGACCTCCTGGCACGAGAAGGAAGAAGAGGCCAGCCGACAACGGGCGCTCAAACGAAACCACAAGCCAACAACCAATGGGGCGGGAGGGGGGCAAGAGACGGACGAGACGACGAGGGAGGAAAGCAAACGAGAAGAGACGGACCGAGTGGCGCGATACGTGCCGGATTNGAACCGACGTTAAAGTGGACGGAAGCCGCGAAGGCGGAGGGGGGAGTACCCTGGCATGCGGCGGTGCTGCAGGGAGGTGAGAGGTTCATGACCTCCTGGCACGAGAAGGAAGAAGAGGCCAGCCGACAACGGGCGCTCAAACGAAACCACAAGCCAACAACCAATGGGGCGGGAGGGGGGCAAGAGACGGACGAGACGACGAGGGAGGAAAGCAAACGAGAAGAGACGGACCGAGTGGCGCGATACGTGCCGGATTGGATTTCTATTAGCCAATTCCCCCCCCCCCAACGCTGCACCATTGCGCCAACCCCTCACTAGTGATGACGTACCATTACCATGTATCGCTGGTTGGTGGCCATGTTTGCGTGTTTGCTTGTTCGTTAGTGGTCTCTCCACCGTGTGCCTTGTTCTGTCTCTTATTTCTTGTTATTTTCGGCCTGGTCCTTTTTTGTCCTCGCTGTTTTTATTTAATTATCTCTTACCTTTTTAGGGTAAGTTAGCCTGCGACCACGGGATCGACCGCGTCGAGTGTTGGATCAGTACAGACATGCGAAGGTACTGGGTAGAGAGAGATCGGAACGGTTTTCAATGTGAAGAAAACAACAACAACAACAACAACAACAACAACAACATTATTTCCCCGAATCCCCGAAGCCTGAACCAAGAAGTGCTGCAGGCGCCATCCGCAACTGATGAGCATAGATTTTTTGCGGGGGGGGGATGGTGATGAACCATCCCCGGCTCAGGTCTGAAAATTTCATGACACACTACCCCGCGGGCACGTACATGGTGGATTCGTTTGTTTTTTTTTGCACCATTTTTGACCGGGTTTCAACTCATTTCCCCTATTTCCCTCAGGAAATTCGCGAAACGCAAAAACCCGGGGATGGGCCTGAAACATCCCTGGTTTTGAACAGTGGTCAGATTGATCTGAGAATTTCAGGTTAACTTTTGGGTGGGGATTACGAATCCGCGGTGTTTTTTTTTTCAATTCGATTTTGCCTTTGAGATACAGGTACACATTGAACAGCATCGCCTTGCCAAGAAAAAAACAAATTCAAGATATTTTATACATCCTCTCTGAAACCGCCCCACACACACACCCCTTAGTTCGACCTCAAACGGGCTCTCCAGCCCAACCCTTCTCCACGAGCAAATACAAGAAGCATGTCACTTTAATGCCATCCCACCTCCCGAAACGGGCAAAAATATTGGGCTCTTCCTTCCTCCCAAGCTCTTCCCAAATCTTTGATGCAGTAGCAGAGTCGCCGTCCAGCCACTGTGTCCCAGTTATTCTCTTCTTTTTGCGTGCCTTCTTGTATCGCGGGAACTTCATCCCCTCGGAGGCATTTTCGTCTACGGGCGCTACTCCAGTGTCCATGATCACCGTTTCCTTCACTACGCTATCCTCCATTGCGGGAACGAGACGGGTGTACGTCTTGCTAACGTAGCACTGCTCATACTCAGAACGCCGGCATGCCGAGCAGAAGCACGACGCCAAACGAGTCCTGAGACTGTAGGTCCGTTTCACCTTCCTGCAAGTCACGTCTTCCTCCCCCGATATCGGATCCTGCAACCCAGCCCCCTGACCCTTCCATCTGCTCGCTACTGCACCCAACACTTCAACTTCCCGCAACCGGCTCTCCTCTAGACTCGACAACTGGCCCTGCCCCTCGCTCTTCAGCACGAGCTTACAGTCATCTTCGCGTCCCTTGGTTGAGGTGGACCCATCCCACTTGGGAGTGCTTGCTCCCGGAAAGTGGTACATCTCTCGTGTCCCTCTACGCCTTCCAGGATCGAGTTTGGCCGATGGATCTCCTTACCGATAAACTCGACGTGCACCCGCCGCATGCGGTACGGAGACCACTTCGCGAAGTACCTCCTCATACCCTCCTCCCCCTCGCTGCCTGCCTCCTCCCCTTCGCTGCTTGCCTCCTCCCGAAAGAAGCTTCGCAAAAAGCTGACCACCCCATCCGCCCCCATGATTCGCTTGCCAAATCTCTCCCTCCTCTTCAAGGTGTTCTTTGCGACTCCGCCGATCCCATCATGGCAACCTCTGAAGTGAGATGTGGCCGCGAAGTGGTGGTCGATGAAGAAGCCAAGTTGTCAGACGCTGTCGGCCAAAAAGCGGAAACTCCGTCTTCCCTTGTACTGCTTCCTGCACCCATCGGTAAAGATGTGAATCCGAGGCGTCCTGCCTTCTTTCCGGGCGGCAGCTGTTGCTTCGTTCCCATCTCCACGCAGGTAGTGGTCCGCCATCCTGGCCAAGCCGTGCAGGTGGAAATTGGAGTCATGTGCCATGTCCTCAGATGCAAAGATCCATGTTTCCGTCACTTGCACCCTGCCACCCCCGACGTGTGTCTGCGGGTTGAAGTGGACGATGGCCACCATGAGCGTTGTCTGCGGGAAAACAGGCATCATCATGCTGGTGTAAGATTGGTGGTTATACCTCTCGGCAAAGTCGGTCTCGATGAAACGGTCACCGTCCTGAAACGTCTCCAAGCAACGCCCGTGGCAGTGCCTTTGCCACTTGGCGATAGAGTGGTGAGCCATGTACAGCTTGGTGTGCTCTTTGAAAGCCAACCAAAGATCGCAAAGCATGCCCTCTTCCGGCACCGTCAGGTTGGCGAGCTTCTTGGCCTTGATCTTCCCATCCGCTGGTTCAGGCACAGTTATCACGTCCTCGAACATCTTCCACCCCACCGTCTGCTCGGAGGTCTCCAGCTTGCTGCAGATGGGAATGCCGTCAGTCCCCCCGAACCCACACACAGCGCAGTCCAAAGTGTTGCCCTCCGGTTTCCTCCCCATCCAACTGTCACCCTCTGGGTCCGCTGCCCGCAAGTTGACCTTGNCATGCCCTCTTCCGGCACCGTCAGGTTGGCGAGCTTCTTGGCCTTGATCTTCCCATCCGCTGGTTCAGGCACAGTTATCACGTCCTCGAACATCTTCCACCCCACCGTCTGCTCGGAGGTCTCCAGCTTGCTGCAGATGGGAATGCCGTCAGTCCCCCCGAACCCACACACAGCGCAGTCCAAAGTGTTGCCCTCCGGTTTCCTCCCCATCCAACTGTCACCCTCTGGGTCCGCTGCCCGCAAGTTGACCTTGGGGCAGGCAATTGCATCGGAGAAAGTGCCCATATGCTTCCACGTTTCCCGCCACCAGCGGCCGCCATCTATGTTGCACCATCGACAATCGCATTCCCTGTGGCTGGTCATGTCGACATTGGCTAGCGCCTCGATGTATAGCACCTGCTGCGAGTGGATCTTGCACGCGCACTGCTCCATTGCAGGGAGGACCAGGCACTTGCAACGCGTCGAGAGGAAGACCGTACGGCCAGGGTCCGTGAAGTTGTCACTCTGTCGCTCCTTGAAGCCCTTGTAAGACCCCCAGTTGAGGAACTTGGCGTACACCGCCACGCCCCCACCCGGCTCCGTATGCTGCCGCCGAGGGTGGCGGTGAGCTGTCGGAGACTTGCTCTCCTTCCACATGTCGCGCTCAGCTGAGTTGCCATGCTGGCGTGACACCTCGTCCATGTGCCAGTACTGTCTCATCAACTCCAGCAGCTCTTCGCTGGCGGCATTGCTTTGCTTAGCTCGGGGCCAAAACCAGTAGACACCGCGCTTTATCGCCTCGGTTGGTTGGAGATCGGACAGCAATTTCTTGGCGGGCTCCGCCGCAAAGTTGAAGGCTTGCTCGCGAACCCCCAGCGCCGCTGCCGTACGTCTTGCTGACACCGATGGAGCCCCGTCTACGTCGTCCACGGGAAACGCCGCAGCGGTGAGGATCGGTTGAAACGTGCGGCTACCTTCCTTGGTTCTACGTTGCCTTTACGCTTGGTCGAGGGCTCGCTCTAGCGAGACCGCTGTGCTGACCTTGGCTTCCAACTCTCGCAAGCGAACACGCGTCTCCTTCGCAAACTTTGAGCCGGTGCCTTCCAAGTGATGCAGCGCCTTGTCATACCCCATGCTGTCCATGGACGCGACAAACGTTTCCGTAGACTGCTGGCGCCAGTCAGCCGGCGCCGTCTGTGTGCACACATGACGAACGAGAAGGAGCGGGGGGAGGGTACGACGTTGCGCAACGCATTCAGGCCTAACAGCAAGACACGACTGACAGAGAGACCATTGCACACACAAAATTGGGCACTTGCTTTGCGCGGGAAGCAACACGGACGAGTCTCGGTGTATTTTGCATGCAATCCGATCCTCTCGGTGGAATGAACGTGTTTGCCATCAGGGTTGGGTTTTCGTCGCTTGGCAACGACGTTGTAAAACAAGCCAATTCACTTCGTGAACTCGGCAACAAGGTTACCGTTTTTTGTTTTTACGTCCGTTTTTTGTTTTTGGCGGGAACCATACTGGTGGTCGAGTAGATCATGTTGTGCGGGGTCGAGAACCCTCACTCCGCGCAAGG